GCCTGCTCCACCGCTGTCTCCAGTGACCACTTGTGATCGGATTTCACTTCCCTGCTCTCCATGCAAATCAACAGGCCTGCACTCTGTTAATGGGCTGCACTGTTTTCCAACCCCCCAGTGTGTTTTGTAGGTGTTTAACTTGGTAGACAAAAATAATATTGTTTGTTTTATGCAAATTAATTACTTTGGATGATAATATGTTGCTGATTATCCTAAGCCTGATAATTCTTCTTTGTAAACAGAGTTGGAAATGGTGGTTACACAATGCACCACACAACTATAGTGTGCATGTTTATAGTCTTCATTAACGCTAGAACTCTCAGAGCGTCACGACTTTTAGTTTTGTAATTACATACTTATTCTTAGGCTTCAGAAGTTTGTGACTTTTCTGCGTCTATATGTAGTATATTTCTAGGTCTCTAATTGTATGAAATTGTTCTTATACTTCTCAAATGAGTGTAGGTCTACCTTTATCTCTTAGATTAGAGCCGAAATGACAGCTCTGCAGTTCCAGTGGCTCCACAATTGCGGGAGTCCTAGTGTAAAATGTTTTCTTTTTTTTCCCATCTTGGCATATGACCAGTTTGAAAATCCTATGTTTTTTGTAGTCAATTCCAGAAAGAATGCTTCCTCTTTTTTATTTTTTATTTTTATTGTGTTTTGCTGAAATACAGTAGTCATGCACATCATCAAATTCAATGCAATGCGCTGCTATATAATTTTCATTATAAGATTCAATCAAAAATGCGCAGTAATTTAACCCTCGCATTATGCATGATTTCACAGCTGCATGATCAGGTTTGTTTATTTCAGTGACGCAAGAAGAGAAGCTCACCCATCATTTATCATTTACGACAAAAAATCTCTCTCAGATTAAAAGCTTTTGTGAAAGTCTGTTATGTTTTCTGTCCTCATTATTGTTTGTCTTCACAAGCAGCCATGTTGTTTTTCATAATAATCAATGCCATTCTTTCACTGATTAACCTCATCACAACTGGGCTCAGGTTGTACACACACACTTGAATGATGAAAACCTGCCTGGTTAGTGAAATCAACAATTCAGATTATTCACTGCATTGAATTAATGAAAATAAAAAGGCAAAAGTCGTGTTAAGATAAGTTAAGAGAACATGCAGGACAGGATGTACTCATGGATAGCTTTTATGATTTTGAAATGTTTCCTATAATGATTGAATGGAGAATATTTGTCATTTCTCTATTTCTGTGTAAGCTTTTAGACAAGGAAATCAATAACATTCAGCATGCCCTCGCAACATATTGCTTTTATGGTAACATTTTGGAAATCCATTTCGTTATTATTATTTTTTTCATTTTCTGGAAAAACGTTTTTACAGCACCAGCTGCCACTCCCTCCAAATGACTGATCCCCAAAGGCTGAACCTCTTAATCCGAATAAAGCCTCGAATCATGTTAATCTCACAACAAGATTTAAAGCTACAACAAGGGACTTTCACCACAAGTGCTGAGCTAGACATGCACATATGAAACATGTAAACGAAAAAAAACATCTGCTTGAAATAGACTGAACCGCTTGGTCTTAAAGGTCAAACGATTAGGCGTGAAACGGAAATGTGACCGGGCCGTAATCCAGGCTCTCGAGATTTGCCAAATCCGCTCCACAGACATGTAGCAAACAAATAGAAATGTCAGCTTCGGACACAAAGCTGTCTCCGCATCATCATGGCTTTTACTATGTGGGATCTGTGTTTGGACAGCGCTTCCATAGGTATGTGATGGAGCAGCGAGATTGTGTGCGTGGCTGTAAGATATGGGGCTATAATCGCCTCCAATTTAAACGACAAGGCGTGCCACTGCAGTTTTATGTTAATATTGTGCGCACTGGCTCATGGCAGACACAAGGTTTCACTATTAAATCTGGTCACTGTAGCAACAGGCAGAGTAATATCAGGCCAGAGCCATATTACACAGGATATAACCGCATCGTATAAGTCGCTATAGGATGTGGGAATGGACCACATTGTCACCAGTCAAAATGTCACATAATCCTTGAGTGAAGGGATTGCAGGAGTGCTGCACTGGATCAAACAAAAGTAAAAACACTATACAGGTGCTCATCCAACTCATGGGTTTGAGAAAACAATATTTACAAAATATTTTCATTTATGTATTTTGTAAATATTGTATGGTCACGTGGTGTTCCCATGAGGCTTTAAAATCATCAGTGTCAGCTGCGATACTGACTGCCCTGACGGAGACTTTTGTCGAAAAACGCGTCGGTCAATTATTATAAATTTTCAGAGTGCCTCCTTCTCAATTTCTTTCAATTGTCACATAATCTTGTTGGGCAGCACCCAAAGACCACAGCCACCGTTTTAGATTTTAATTGTCACAATCAGCAGCTGGACTGTAGCAGGTGTCATTTAGCTACAAATTACCATTCATCATAATGCAGGGTTTACTTAGATAACATTGTAAGTAAGTAATCTTTATTTATATACCGCCTTTCAGAGTCCATAGTCAAGCGGTTTACAGTTGTGGGCATTTGTCTCTCACTCCACACAGAGATGGAAGCGGGGTCGCCAGTACAGGAGGCGCATGCCAGACCTATTGTACATGTTTTTAGTGGTAGGGGAACCCGGAGCACCTGGAGGAAACCCACGCAGACACGAGCAGAACGTGTAAACTCCACTCAGAAAGGCCCTGTTCTGACCAGGATTTGAACCCATCACCTTCTTGCTGAGAAGCGAGAGTGCTCAGTGTTTAGTACGATACAGGAAATAGTCAATAACATTTAACTTTCTATGTCTAACTAATGTATGTCATGAATGAATAAATAATGATTGTAGCAAAACATATTGGATTTGTACAATATTTCTGAATCAGTAGCTCGTAAGACGTTCATACAATCCAGATAAAGATCCTTTATTTCTCCCACAGTGGGGATATTTCAGTTTTGCATTACAAGTAACAGACAGTAGCAACGAGGTAGCACAAGATAAATGAATAAAAACTACCTATACTAAAACAAAATACAATCTTTGTTTACATCTGGGTCTGGGACAAAGTGACAGTGACACATGTGGTTCTATATTTCACAGTCTGACATTAGTCCAGTTTATGTCCATCTAGTCAGCAGAAATCTCATCTACAGACATTTATAAACGTCCACACTCTTTATTGAAAATGCTTTATAAAAGGGAACTCTTAGAAAGCTGCATTTTCTAAACAGGTAGAGTCTTGAAAACTGTAACACATAATACACACTCAAAAATCCATATTTTCCATTTTTACAGTACATTAAAGTAAAGATAAAAATATTAAATATAAAATCCCTCAGTTTTATGCACAGCTAAACAGGACTGTCTTTAACCTGGTTTGAAACATTGTCAGAGAAGAGGCCTGTCTCACATCTTCAGGAAGATTGTTCCAAATTTTAGCAGCATGAATCTGAAAGCAGCCTCCCCATGTTTAGTTCTGACTCTGGACACTAACAGGAGTCCAGTCCTTGTGCTACTCAGAGTCCGGGCTATCTGTTATCTGCAGTTCATCCAGAGTGATCATGGGCCTCTTGGCTGCATCTCTGATCAGTCTTCTCCTTGTTTGAGATGAAAGTTTGGAGGGACGGCCGGGTCTTGGTAGATTTGCAGTGGTCTGATACTCCTTCCATTTCAATATAATTGCTTGCACAGTGCTCCTTGAGATGTTTAAAGCTTGGGAAATCTTTTTGTATCCAAATCCGGCTTTAAACTTCTCCACAACAGTATCTCGGACCTGCCTGGTGTGTTCCTTTGTCTTCATGGTTCTCTCTGCGCTTTAAACAGAACCCTGAGACTATCAAAGAGCAGGTGCATTTATACGGAGACTTGATTACACACAGGTGCATTCTATTTATCATCATCAGTCATTTAGGACAACATTGGATCATTCAAAGATCCTCCCTGAACTTCTGGAGTGAGTTTGCGGCACTGAAAGTAAAGGGGCCGAATAATATTTCACGCCCCACTTTTCAGTTTTTTATTTGTTAAAAAAGTTGAAACTATCCAATAAATTTTGTTCCACTTCACGATTGTGTCCCACTTGTTGTTGATTCATGACAAAAAATTTAAATTTTATATCTTTATGTTTGAAGCCTGAAATGTGGCGAAATGTTGAAAGGTTCAAGGGGGCCGAAAACTTTCGCAAGGCACTGTATATACCTGATTTTGAGCCACGCTGTTAATGTTGTTGCCCTCTGCCATGATCAACTCTGTGCAGGCTCGATTGTTAATGTCTGTGAGCAGTGATGTCATATTGACAGTTTGCTAACTGCTGAAATTTGTATTCTCAAAGAAGAAAATGCAAACACACAAAAAAATCGTATTCATAAGTACGAAATCACACATATAGTTTTATTGTTTTTTATTCTTAATTAAGAAGTTCCATGTCTTTTGAGTTTGTATTATCTTAATCATGAATTAATACAATATTTTTATGCACAAATCCCGATAAATATGCACGTTTTTTTTTTTTACATGTACCCTTGACAGTAACCTTACCCCATATTTGTCAACAACACTTCAGAGTCTACACATAACTGCGTTTTGAGCCTTCATGATTTAGTATAATGCAGCAATAATTAATGTTCCAAGAGTTTGAATGTTCATAATGATAGGTTGTGTATTTTTGTAGTTTTCCCTCCTATTCACTGGATTCTGTTCCTTGGCTGTATTTTCCTCCTCTCTCTGTCCTTCCCCACACACTTTCGGAGTGATGGCTGTCGAGTGGAGGGCATTGAGTGACTTCTGGGTAACTTTAGTGTTTGCTGCAGCTGTCCATAAGGCCAGATGCCCTCAGCCTCCGCACTGGTTCACTGACTCGTTCACTTCATCATAATCTTTGTCTCATCAAATCACATCAGACTGATTTCCCTGGTGAGGCAGCAGTTTGTCATGGTAGTTTCAGCTGAGTGCTCCGTACATGCCCTAAATCCTCCTTATGTTGGTAACACTTTACATTACGGGCCGGTAAGTCCATGGTACTTACAGTGGTACTTCTAGGTACTTACAGTGGTACTTACGGTGGTACTTACAGTGGTACTTACGGTGGTACTTACGGTGGTACTTACGGTGGTACTTACGGTGGTACTTACGGTGGTACTTACGGTGGTACTTACGGTGGTACTTACGGTGGTACTTACGGTGGTACTTACGGTGGTACTTACGGTGGTACTTACGGTGGTACTTACGGTGGTACTTACGGTGGTACTTACGGTGGTACTTACGGTGGTACTTACGGTGGTACTTACGGTGGTACTTACAGTGGTACTTACGGTGGTACTTACGGTGGTACTTACGGTGGTACTTACGGTGGTACTTCTAGGTACTTATTGTGGTACTTACAGTGGTACTTCTAGGTACTTACAGTGGTACTTATTGTGGTACTTAGAGGTACTTATTGTGGTACTTACAGTGGTACTTCTAGGTACTTATTGTGATAATTCTAGATACAGCTGTAACTTAGTAATTCAAGGACACTACAGTATTATTCCTATGTAGTAAATGTGGTACTTCTACATACATACATACAGAGGTCATTTGTAGGATTGTTTGACTATAAAACATAAAACAACATTATGTAAAACAAACGTCTTTATTAATATGGAATAAGTAGCACAGAAAGGACAGTATAAATACATTTAATACATATTTCAAAACAAGTTTCAAGGACAAGGGAAACACTGCAAGAACTAGGTACCCAACCCAAGTACCAAGAATTACACATTACCAGGTACTTACCAGGCAAGTACCAGGTACTTACCAGGCAAGTACCAGATACTTACCAGCAAGTACCAGGTACTTACCAGCAAGTACCAGGTACTTACCAGGCAAGTACCAGGTACTTACCAGGCAAGTACCAGGTACTTACCAGGCAAGTACCAGGTACTTACCAGCAAGTACCAGGTACTTACCAGCAAGTACCAGGTACTTACCAGCAAGTACCAGGTACTTACCAGCAAGGACCAGGTACTTACCATAGGAACTGGCCCGTAATAAGACAAAGGACTTTAACATAAGTACCAGTGATAACACCAGTAATTATATAGTAAGTACCAGGTACTTACCATAGGAACTGGCCCGTAATAAGACAAACGACTTTAACATAAGTACCAGTGATAACACCAGTAATTATATAGTAAGTACCAGGTACTTACCATAGGGACTGGCCCGTAATAAGACAAAGGACTTTAACATAAGTACCAGTGATAACACCAGTAATTATATAGTAAGTACCAGGTACTTACCATAGGAACTGGCCCGTAATAAGACAAAGGACTTTAACATAAGTACCAGTGATAACACCAGTAATTATATAGTAAGTACCAGGTACTTACCATAGGAACTGGCCCGTAATAAGACAAACGACTTTAACATAAGTACCAGTGATAACACCAGTAATTATATAGTAAGTACCAGGTACTTACCATAGGGACTGGCCCGTAATAAGACAAAGGACTTTAACATAAGTACCAGTGATAACACCAGTAATTATATAGTAAGTACCAGGTACTTACCATAGGAACTGGCCCGTAATAAGACAAAGGACTTTAACATAAGTACCAGTGATAACACCAGTAATTATATAGTAAGTACCAGGTACTTACCATAGGAACTGGCCCGTAATAAGACAAACGACTTTAACATAAGTACCAGTGATAACACCAGTAATTATATAGTAAGTACCTGGTACTTGCTGGTAAGTACCTGGTACTTGCTGGTAAGTACCTGGTATACTATATAATTACTGGTATCACTAGTACTTATGGGTAAGTCCTTATGTTTGCTTTTCTTATTGTAACATGATTCAGTTTAGCAATAAATACATTTCATTTATAAGGTTTGAGGTTTTTATTGGTTTTGTTGAGTCTTTACCAACCTGTATTTGTGACTTAAAGGATTGATTTTATAATTTGTTGGAATGATAACGGTTGTAAATATAAATTATAGGTTTTATTACACCAATAAATCTACAGTTTGTGAAGAAAAATGGAACAAGTGGGTTGGAACCAAATCAGCATCTGCTTCATCCACTTTTTATACTGAATTGCGGTTTACTGTTTCATCATTTTTAATTTGTATTTTTCTGTGTGAAATAATTACTATACTAAAGGAGGATTTTATGCAAATATGCCTGTAATAAATGTTTTGTTTCTTAATCTTTATTTTATGTTGCTCAAATAAATACATACATTCATAAACTATGCTACTTTAAAGTAGCAGTATGTAATATTTGCATGTCAAGTCATCATTAAATGGCCCCAATATTTCAAAAGCCGTTATTAAATCATGCTCTTTTCGAATACATCTTTGACTGATAACAGTAGTTCAGCCGAGATATTTGATTATCAAAATTAGTTTTACAACCCATAAAAGTTGTTATTGTTTTCATTTTGATGTCCTACCTTTAGGGCCGGCCCTATGTCATCAGGCGCCCCAGGCGAAAATATATCATGGCGCCCCTTGCATACTTGTAGAGGGCATCACAGTGAACAAGTGTGCAGTCAAAGTTGTCGCAAACCTCCTGCAGATTTAAAAACAATTCAGTTTAAAATGTGGGTTTGGCGGCTCATTCCCGCGGCTTCTCTTTCCACTTTTACGTAAGAAAGTAAGTAGTAAGTAAGTTTTTATTTATATACCGCCTTTTCACTGCAGATCTGAGTCTCAAAGCGGTTTACAATTGTTAATTTTGGGCATTTGTCTCTCACTCCACACAGAGATGGGAGCGGGGCCAGTACAGGGGGCGTATGCTAGAACTATTGGACATATTTTTAGTGGTAGGGGAAACCGGAGTACCCGGAGGAAACCTACGCAGACACGGGGAGAACATGCAAACTCCACTCAGAAAGGCCCTGGTCCGACCGGGATTCGAACCCAGGACCTTCTTGCTGAGAGGCGAGAGTGCTATCCACTCAGCCACCGTGCCGCCAAAAGGGGCCACCCGCTGTTAATCAGTGTTAGGCAAGTTACTTCAAAAACGTCCTGGCTCAGTCCTGGTTCAGTCCTGGTTCAGTCCTGGTTCAGTCCTGGTTCTGTCCTGGCTCAGTTCTGGTTCAGTCCTGGTTCTGTCCTAGCTCAGTCCTGGTTCAGTCCTGGTTCACAGCAGCTCACAGCTCACAGCCACCGTGCCGCCAAAAGGGGCCACCCGCTGTTAATCAGTGTTAGGCAAGTTACTTCAAAAACGTCCTGGCTCAGTCCTGGTTCAGTCCTGGTTCAGTCCTGGTTCTGTCCTGGTTCAGTCCTGGTTCTGTCCTGGCTCAGTTCTGGTTCAGTCCTGGTTCTGTCCTAGCTCAGTCCTGGTTCAGTCCTGGTTCACAGCAGCTCACAGCTTTAGGCAAGGCAAGGCAAGTTTATTTGTATAGCAGAATTCATACACAAGGCAACTCAAAGTGCTGAACAAAACAAGAAAGCATTAAAATCATAAATAATCACAGAACATTAAAAAGAAAGATAAAAATATAAAATCCCTCAGTTGTCTGCACAGCAAAACAGGACTGTTTTTAACCTGGCTTTAAACATTGTCAGAGAGGAGGCCTGTCTCACATCTTCAGGAAGATTGTTCCAGATTTTAGCAGCATGAATCTGAAAAGCAGCCTCCCCATGTTTAGTTCTGACTCTGGGCACTAACAGGAGTCCAGTCCCTGTGCTCCTCAGAGTCCGGGCTGGTTCATATGGTACTAACATGTCACTAATATAGTTTGGTGCGAGGCCATGGAGAGACTTGTACACAAGCAGAGCTGTTTTAAAGTCTATTCTCTGAGCCACAGGAAGCCAGTGCAGAGACCTGAGGACTGGACTAATGTGGTCGTACTTCCTGGTTCTAGTCAGGACTCGAGCTGCTGCATTTTGAATGTACTGCAGCTGTTTTACAGCCTGTTTGGACAGACCTGTGAGCAGGCTTGTCTAAACATGATGGAAGTGCATCATTCTTGCCGCTTTAAAATGCGCCGTGTTGCCGCTCATCGCGCACGTATTTTCCGCCCGTTGCGTCTGCCTCTGTCTCAAACAGGACTCTGTAGAAAGTCATAACTCTGTGAAAACTATTTTTTAGCGCTTTGAAGATCAAACCAGAGCTTAGACTCTAATCTGTCCATAGGCTGCATGTAACTGTTCATAACTCTACTTTGAGCCCGTTATTCACTCTCTTCTTTTCTTCAGTGTTTATTGGCTGCACCTGACGGCTTGAACTGCCTTTTCATGATAACGTTGACCAAAAACACGTCCACCTTTCTTTCACACTTTCTGGGATGCACGCATGGGATGCACGGGGCTGCCCCTCCCCCACCTACTCACCTTGGCGTGACAAGAGTGCAGCCAGTTCAGTGATGACAATTTTTAAGTTTATTGTATACATAAATGGTTTAGTTTTTTTTCAGTCTTACTTGATTGGAAACACCTAATAAAAAAAGGAAACTTTGTTTTGTTTTGTTTGGCGCCCCATCCTGCAGATGGCTATGCCCTGGGCCGGCCCTGCCTACCCTGCGCCGTATCGCCAATCAGGAAGTTTCATGAAAGTCCGTGATCGGGTTGCCAGAACTCTGCGCGGCTAGCTAAAATAACATGTGGGCGCAGACCTAAAAAAGGTCTTGTTATGTCTCTCAAAACATCAATGACAAAACAAAGACTAAAACAAGGATTTATATTAAGACGCCTTTGAAAAATTGAGACAGCTGATAAAACTTGCTGGTTTTAACAAAACGGCACAACTGGGATACAATTCCAAAAACCTGTTGGCAATGTCTCATGACAGTACATCTTTGGGAAAATATAGTCCCCACCTGTTATACAAACTTTAAATTCTATGGCTGCGTGATTTTTAGTTTGACTTTTCAATGATCATTTCTGTCAATAGCCTTAGTTTTTACTTGAATACTTTTACTCACAGTTGTTGCCACTTTGTACACCTGTGGTTGTTTATTTCCGCTCAGTAAACTGTCTATATACATAGCACTTTTCCCGTTGTAAAGTTTGATAAGCTTCTTATGCATTAAGCAGAGGTTTAGGAACTTCCTTTGATCTCCTCAGTCTCTCACAGAAACACAAATACTTTAACCACCCAGGCTGAGAAATGCTCGCTGAACTCAGCACTTTGATGTGGATGCAGGAAAACAATGCAATCCAACATCAATGTCCTATAAGGTATGAAATATAAAAGTTTTCACTCCATAAAGAAGCTTTCACAAATCAAAACGTTATCATCAACAGACAATAAAAAGAGTAATATTAATAATGCCTTATTCACAGCTTTTGCACTGACTTTGAAGCTCTCTTCAAGAAGGCTTTACAAAACAAAACCAATGCCTAATGTCTAATGTCTAATGCCAATAAATAAAGCTTTCATGGAATTTCAATATTTAATTCAGAATATTTTGTGTTCAGGTGAAATCACACCTTTCCAGAGAACCATAGTTTTATTAAAAGAACAGGTAACTATGGTAACTGTCAAGTATTGTATGCTCACTTCAGAGCTACTTTCTCTATTTCTTTGGCCAATCCACATGAAACAAAGTCAACTGTGGCCATATTATTTTTTTTATCATAGACGCAGAGACACAATTAAAAAACCCATGCATGATGTTGACCAGAAGAACGCTTTTTCTGACATAAGGAAAACATGTCAAATGTATATTTTACGTTATTACCACTTATTTGAAAGTTTAGTTATGGTTAATTACTATAGAATTATGATCTTGAAAAAAAATCTGATTTTTTTTTTTCAACATTCCTTTGAAAAAGTCTGTCTTTCTCATGACACCTGCCCTCAAACTGAAATAGAATTTTTGGCTGTCAACTTAATGAAGTGGTTCTCATACCGTTTTTATTTTTTATTTTTTTTTTACTGCTGTTTTTTTATCATTTACACCCACACACTTGTTTGAACTGGTTCTGCAAAACTCTGAATCCACTTTTTCAGTCACTTGGGTTTTGTCGCCAAAGATACATCACATGTGTGAAAACTTGCAGAAAATGTGTCAAAGCAATTTCAAGTGTAAAACAAACAGTACAGAAAAAAACATAAACAAGACACATGAGCATCAGGTCTCTTTGGATATCATTTTGCTCCGGTGATGCAGCTAAATGACAAACGCTGAATGACCCAGTTGCATTGCAAAAGACGCAGATCAAGTGGATTGTGAGCGGCCAGAATGCACCGGGGTGGCACAGGTACACTCTCTCACTTGGCTGAGTTTTATTGCTGATCCTTGCGTCACTGTGTCACCTTGTGTCAGTGGAGCTTTGAGCGCTCCAGTGGCTGCTCCAAAAATCATGTCGTAACAAGCTCTGATATCTGAGGGCGGCCACATTTTCTCTCATGTACTTTTTTTTTTTTTCATTTTTTAAAATCCAAGTTTGATCAAGCGATACATCAATTCAACAAGTCATCAGTTTCAGGCAGATCTGTGCAAATATCATCAACGGGGAAACAAAATCCTGTAATATCAACTTTTTTTAAGCACAATATAAACATTAAAATCTCATTCACTTTAAAGATAAGTGTCTTCAAAGGATATTTTGAATTTCAATATGAAACCAAAGCAAAATACACAGTCCTGCACAGTTGCGTAGCTCTCAATATATGGTGAGGCAAATTGTTTGTTCGGTCTTTTTAAAATGCAAATTACCCTGACATATCAAAAAGTACATCCTCCCTGGAAGTAAACATATTCAAGCAGATACATAATTGTGTCAATTTGGAGACAGGGCCCTTCAATGTGCACTAGGCTTGTTTACCTCCAAAACATCAGTATGAAATATTGTCTGCAGCCAGTTTACCTGTCACAGACAACTCTTCGAAACACCAATTTCTACCACAGCAGTAACAGCAAAGCAACAGGAATTGCATTTAATTTTCAGCAGCTGGACAACCAACAGTCAACAGCTGTAATTATTTCATGCACCGCAAATTAGGTTGGAATTGTCCTTTTTTTGTAGCGTCAATCAAGCTTTTCAACAGAGATGATACAGGAAAGAGGAGGGTATGTCAAAGTATGTGCGGCTGCAGCTCGGGATGTAAATGGGTGACATTTGAAACCCGGTGTTTGGTACAAATCTGGTGAATGAATCAAAGTGCCCGGAGTGTGACTTTGCGTTGTCGCACAGACTGGAGCGCTGCTGGCCTTTAGTGGGTGACTTCTGACGCATGCATGACGCTAGCACATTGACTTACTCTAATGTGAATGGGCAGAAAGGGCAGAGCAAGTGCCAAACAAAAGTGTGATGAGGTGTTTTCGAGAGGCCTTTGAGACCTCTTTCTGATACTCTTCACTAGCAGTGGCCCCTTGCAATCAGGTGGAGATGGAACAAACAAAAACAATGCAAAAAAATCAGGGTTAGAATTTGTGCTTGCATTAGACCTAATACTCATGTAGGAACTAACAAAACCATCAATTATATACTCTGCAGCCGCTTTATTCAAATACATAATAAGTCAAGCATATTCTTATGGTGGCTAGCATGAATGTCCTGGGTTTGAATTCCAATCGGATTTCTGAAAGAAGTTTGCATGTTTCCTCCGGGTGCTCCGGTTTCCTCCGGGTGCTCCGGTTTCCTCGACCACTAAAAACGTGTACAATAGGTCTGGCATGCCTGTCACTCCTTTGTCTGTGTGGAGTGACGGAAAAATGTCCCCAAAAAAACAATTGTAAAGTGGTTTGTGACTCTGGTCAGTGAAAGGCGCTAAATAAAGATTACGTACTTACTTATAATGTTGAATGTAAGAAGTAAGTTAAGACATTGGAGGATTTTAGATATATCTTGAATCCTTTAGGTCCACCTTCAACCTGGGTCAAAACGCTCCTGCACATCACACCCTTCCCCCTGTATCATGAAGCAGCAAAAACTTGCCTTCATTCTGCAGGCATAGACCTCCCGGTGGGACAACATCTCAAAGGTGCATCCACGGGGGTCCTCAAGCTGCGTCCCATAGCAGATCCTCCTCCCACTTCAGTCTAGTTTGAAATGCAGCCCATTCCTCATTCCCCGCCTCGTGTGCCCAGATATCTCGCTTTGTAACGCTGTCCACACACCTTTCTGCGGGCTGCTCTGCTTGAGTTGCCCAATAGTCTTCTACGTCTGCCGCCACGTCAGGCCAGGCTAAGGCAGTCGATCTGGCTCTTCAAAAATGGGTTTTGATGGGCCATTTTTTCCTCTCGGCCGCTCATACCAACCCCCTCCCAAAGTATACCGTATATGGCAGCCTTTTAGTCGAATTTGGAACGAGCGGAGGTCGGAATGGAAGCATCGGGACCCTTGGCAGCCAACTTGGAGTCACATCATGTTCACCCTCTGCTATCGCCATTATCCTCCAATAATATACACTACTGTTGACTTGTCATGGGTCACGGACATACAACTCTGTATAATAATAATAATAATAATAATAATGCAATAATAATAATAATGCATAAACTACTAATGTAGCCACAGCTGCCCTGGGGCACACAGTCAGGAGCGAGTATTGGTATTTTTTGTTTTTATAACAGCTTTTCTCTTGTTTCATTCCAAGGGAGTTTCAGTGACTTGTAATGGATTTTCAGATGTTCACGTTTTCTTTTAATCTAAGTAGTTAAAGAGCTTTCCGTGTTTAGCAGCTAAGTGCTACTGAGCAATTTAGACTCAAAGCAGTGCGAGAAGTAATAGTGTGCAATCCGATGATGATGAGACAATTAGCGACATCTGAACAGTAGCATATTTGACTCATGCACATTCATATTTAAGGAGTTGCATTCATATCTAAATACACGCAGTGCTTGACGAAGGCTTTGAATGGCTGAGAGCGGCTCTGTTCAAATGAATGCGCTCCCACTCATCAACTCATTATACAATCCATCCACTGTTGTTACCGCCATATTGGCAATTAGATACAGACACGAGGAAGCTGACAAGTTTAGACTGTGTTTATATTTCTAGAATTTTTTATGCCAAACTTTTATGTGATATCTGTAATGTGATAAGTTTTGCTTTTATCTCTGAGTGAGTTAATAAAGACAGAATTATAACAAGCCTTTTTTAAGTGCACTTTGCAGTCATTTCTAAAACTTTTGCACCAGTCATAACAGATAAAGCTCCACCAAATAATGGATTCATCACATAATAAAAAACAAACACTAATCAGTCCAATTGTCTGTCCATCAACAATCGGCCTAATGAATTTAAAGCCATCACAAGTGTGACAGTGACTCAGTGTGAATGATATTGAACAATGGAGAGAGCACTTTGTCCTTTAGAGACAGAACCCTGCTGCTTAGCTTTAACCTTCAGCCATGTTTCTGAACACATTAATCCAGAACAGGACCCTGATTCTACCACTACTTATGAATAGAAGCGATTTCATGAAAATGTCTGCTTGTGACAAATCTGATTAAAAAATTGAAAATGGTCTTAAATCCACAAACATGTTAGTGATCAAGACCACTTAATGGTTCTCACCTGGTGTTGCCTCAAGAGAAGCTTTGATTTGTAAGGTTGTCTTTTAATCACCCTTTAGACGTCAGACTTTATTCCAGAAGTTTAATGTGAAACATACAAAAGGTGGTGCTGTGAAGCTTTGCAAGAGATTGGGGACTACAGAGTCCGCAAAGAAAAATATGATTGAGAATTGTTTGCCAGAAGTCTGATTACTGTATAGAAAGTGACCTGGATTCAGCTGTGAATGAAAATGTGGCATTTTAGTGTCTAAAGGGCTACTGAATGTTAATTTTTTAGTTTTTTTTCAGACATTATCAGTTATTTACCAGAGAGACTACTTGATACACAATCCATGATCCTTGTTTTTGGACCCATCATTGGTCGATAAGCTCTCCTATTACAGTTGAAACAGAGTGGACAAATGTGTTTGATAATTGCTGGAATTGTTGTACATAATTTTTGGTTATTTTGATTACAAATGTTCAAATTTGTCTATGCATTTTCAAAACAGTAATTCTGGCCTCATTTATTTATGTTCCAAAAAACACCTGCTTCATTATATCTTCATTGTTCTGTCTGCTTTCAGCACCTCTCTTTCTCATTTTCCAAACCAGTGATAATTTCACTTTGTGGCCCAGATGAAGGTGTTTTTGTTGTGTTGTTTTTTTGGCTGTGCTTTTCCTCCCTGTCTCAGATTTATTTTGGAGTGTGAGCATGTTTGTTACCTGAGCCTGTGAAAAGACCAAAGCCACTCTTCAAAAGCTTGTTCAACTATATTCCAGGTTGGTCTGGTCCATCAGTCTGCAGCCTCTCAGTGAACCGTGTGCACATTTTTCATACATATAAAGGGTCAAAGATGGCCAGTGGTCCACTCCAAACAGCGCGGGGACTCTAATGGATAATAGAGGAGGCTGAGTATGGGCTACACAGGAGATGACACTCACCCATAGGAATAAACACAAAGAAGCTTTGAAAACACATGTTGCAAGGGGTTCTTAATATGGCAATTGTTATTGGCTGTGTTACGACCCAGCTCGGCTAGTCCGTCGTGAGACAGGTTAGTTTTACCCTACTGATGATGTTTTGTTGCAATAGTTATCCTGCTATCATTGTGAAGCAGAATTCACCAAGCGTTGGATTGTTCACCCACTAATAGGGAACGTGAGCTGGGTTTAGACCATAGACTGTAAAAATGAACGAACAGAGTCACGCCTATCTCCGCCGTTCTAACTAATGGGCCAAAAATAATGCTCTACTGGAGCTATCCAAAATGGCCGCGAGTGGTCCCGCCCACAAGAAAATTGTGAAAAAACGCATCTGCGCATGCGTCAGCTGGCGCAACTCCATTCATTTGAACGAGAGACTTCAAAAATTCACAGCAAGTAAACTAGAGTGGTCCAAAAAAATTCACCTCCCTCAGCATTGACACACATGTGGAACGGAGCTTTGGGCCAAGAGCCAACTTTTGGTCCATCCTGTAAAGACGTTTTTGAGAGGTCTGCCAATGCTATATGTTAGCATTGGCTAATTCTTCTTCTGGGTCCACCTCCATCGGCCCGGGGTGGTATTGCAAGCATGTCAGCGCACGTCATTTTGGCCACTTCTGAGCCGGGACCCGCCCCCACTAGTTACAACCCAGCTCGGCTAGGGTAAGGGAGTTAACAAATAAAACCAAGATGTTAAAATGGTAAAGTATTTAATAAAATGCAAGTAAACAAAAATCAAAAGTACACAATACAGGACATAAGGGGGTATCTCAATGCTACCAAAAATAAAACCCATACGAAACACTTTACACTAACACACATAGAATCAAAAGCAAAGTGTCACAAAAATAAAACCTCAAAGTGACAAATAAAAA